GGATCAAGTTCCAATAGTATATCAATAAAAGAAGGCCTATTGTGAGGGTTTTACTCAATGCCATATGCCCTATTCTTTTTCTTACTATTTAAAACTATTGTACGAATTTGTGATGAATTTTTGCAAACTTGATAGTAGGAGGCTACAATTGTTGCGAATAATTTTAAAGTTTAAAATAATGTAAAATTCGAAGGCTACGGTTTTTGAAAATAATTTTGAGGCCTAAAATAATCTAAGAGTGAATTTCTCAAAGAGTCAATGAGTTTTTCGAAGAGTCAATTTTAATTATTCCAAATACATAATGTAATGTAAAGTAAGGATCAAAACTTTAGCATCTCACTTGTTCGGAGTGGTACATTTTTAATTTTCTTTATTTCCCTAACATTATTTCCTTTGTTATCAAATTCTTTTCATTCTTTTTCCGGGGCTAAAAGAAAAGAAACAAATTTCTTCAAATTTCACATGCCGGACATTTGGCATATCTATTTTCACATTTTTATCCTAACCCCTACATGCAATGTTATTGAGCTTTGAATGGGTCGTGTTGCATGGGAAGAGATAGTAGGTTGCCTAGCTTCCATACATGTATCGAGATCATAAATTGAAAAAATAATTCTTGCAATTTCTAGTGAAAAGTTCCGAGTGTCCATTTACCTAAACCTGCATTCACTTATGCTGTAAGTGAGCCATAGAAATACACAAGTAAATGTTTTCAAGCTTATTTCTAGTTTCTTAGATATTCATGTTGTTTGATAAATCCTCCGTTCGATGCTTTTCGATGCGACTCCTCGTTTCAATCATTTAATTATGTAATCCATCTATAATACATTATGATGTAGTGAGTCAAATTAGTCTTAAAAAATAGTCTAGAGAAAATTACTTGAATATAATAAACGAGTGAACAAAACATCATAACCAATCAAGCATATTTCCTTTCGGAATTGACAACATCCCATTCTCTTCTAGAAATTTTGCCAAAGAGTTTCCTGTGTATTCTCATTTTTTCGAAAGCCCAAAGATTTACGCATGTTTTTCCCCATTATTATTCTTACTCGCAAAAGGACATGCATAAAGAGGAATGAATAATAAAGATGCGAGTAGGATTTTCTCTATGCTTTATCTTTCCATCATAACAATCTCAATTATTTTGAGACTATTCAAGAACTCTCAAGAAATGCATTTACTTCTTTACTAATAAAGCGAGGCTCTTAATTCTACTTAGAGCTGCTACTTCCCCACGCCTTTTTTTTTTTTTCATATAGCTCGTAAAACTTTCAGCAAGTAAATAAGAGACCTAATGGCGGAAATACATTGAAGCAAACCCGAGAATTATATGCCATAAATAATACATCACCGATCATAAATAAAGCCCAATTTCTTCTCCAATCTCTCCGGCTAGTTATGAATTCGAATGTTATCCACTGATTTCCCTCAAGCCATTAGTTTCGTCATACGCCAAACTTATTTTCAAGGATATATTGACTTCGAGAGAATGTTTCCTTGATATATAAATTTAAACAACATACTTTTACGCAACTTCTTTCGCGGTGAAGATGAATTTCCCATAACTAGTGATGACATAAGTTATTTCTAAAAAGGCTCCTATGAATTTGATTCCAAAAACTACATAAAATCCATCGATCAAACACAAAATAACTACAAAAATAAGAAATAAATGACAGAATATCTACTAAATGAGAAATAAAGCATAACATTACCTGAATGAGAGTTAAACCTTAAAAACGAAATATAAATGTAACCCTTACATGTACCTTCGAGATTTAAAAGTCGACGACATTAACTTTACTTGTTCTTCTATCAATTCTTGTCGCTTCAAAAGGAGCTCCAATTCGACCACTCGCAACTTCCTCCACTTCTCCTTCATCTCTGCCTTCTTCCTCCCATGCACAAAATCCAATCCCCTCCTCCCAACATAATCATCCATTCCTCTAACACTCACACTTGTTACAAAACTCTAAAACCTTTTTGACACCTTCCATTCCATCCTCCCCCATATTAATATCCAATTCGGCCTCAACACCTCCGAGAGTTTGAAATTTTTGGGTTGATCTGTTAGGTTCCATTGGTTGTGGTTTATGGTGGAGGAGAAAGGGTTTGATTTTGTTCATCATCGGATATCTCTTCCTCCTCACCATTGGAAGTTTCTTCCTCTTCTTCTTTAGAGCTAGAAGCGAGAGGGTGGATCTTCAACGGGAGGGGCGTTTTGGTGCCATTAAGAAACAGAGAGTTAGGGTTTTGAAAGAGAGTTTGATTAGGGTGTGTCTTTGAGAGGAGACAGAGAGCCGGCCCTAAACGAGGAAGACAAGAAGCCTTTAAATCTCACGGTAATTTTAGTTTTTAACCGTTCAAACGTAGTCAATAGAGAGCGAGATAATTAATAGGGATAATTATCGGAAAAACTCTCTAAAAAAATCTTATATCTAAGTAACCCATCAATTTATTTTTAAATCTCTTAAACCCAAAATAATATTTTTTTTACCAAACTAGCAAATAGTTAACCTTCAACTTAACACTAGTTAATTATTGGGTCTTTTGGTAATATAATTATTTTTATTTTTAGGTTTGAGAATTAAAAAAATAAATTGATGAATTTTTTAGATAAAAAATTTTTCGAGAGATTTTTTCTAATAATAAACTCATTTCATAGTTTTTACTGAGTTTGATATTTATTATTTTTTTTAATGATCAAGTCAAGTTTTCTTTTTTAATTGCATTCAAAAGGAAAAAAAAAAAGTTTTTTGAGGTTCTTTGACTTTTAAACACTAACATTCGACTACTTTTTTTTATTATATTAAAAAATTCCTTATATTAGAGTTTTTTTCTATCAAACATTTGTTTCATCAATTACGAGATTAATTTTACTATATAGTAACTATATCAACCAATGTAATTTAACTAATTAATATTGATGAATGGCACTCTTGTTATTCTTTTGTAATTTAATCAAAAGGTTATTATATAAATAAGAAAAATAAGAATATATATGATTATGAACATTAGTGATTTTTTAAATCCTAATATATTGATAGAGAAAAAAAAGCATCATTGGTAATACTAGTTTTTAATTAATCAAAACTCAATATTTTTTTATCAAACAATTAAATTAAATTAAAAGATGAATGTGTAATATATTTTGGTGCGTTAATTAAATAAAATATGATTATCCATAATACTGGTTTTTAATTAATCAAAACTCAATATTAAATGGTTTCATTTAAACTAGGGATAGTTATCAAAAAAAAAAAAAATTCTTCTATCTAAAAATTCACTATTTTATTTTAAAATCTCTTAACACAAAATAATATTTTTAAATCTCACAAGTCTAAAATAATATTTTTCTTACCAAAACAACTAATAGCTAAGACTAGTGTTAATTATTGGGTGTTTTAGTAGGAAAAGTATTATTTTGGGTTTGAGAGATTTAAAATAAATTTGTGAGTTGTTTAGATAGAAGATTTTTTAGTAAGGTTTTTTGATAATTATCCCTAATTAATATTAAATAAAAACTTTAAAGTGATTATTTGTTTCAATAAATTTAAACCAAATATCTGTATCATAAATATCTTGTTTCCATACATTAATTATTTTCCTATTTTACTCAAATAATAACTAGTGAGAAACCTCTAAATCCCTAGGCACACACACACATATATATATATATGTGTGTGTGTGTGTGTGTGTGTGTGTGTGTGTGTGTGTGTGTGTGTGTGTGTGTGTGTGTGTGTGGCGCGCACGCATGTGTGTGTAAAAAATAATTAATTAGTACATGTTTTCGATAAAAAGACGATAATATTTTAAAATAACATAAATTTAAATTTTAATAAATGCAAAATAAGTATTTTTATTTTGATTTAGATTTTTAATTTTTTTATGTAATTAATTCTTTTTGTAGGGTTTGCTAATCTCGAAAGATATTAGATGCACAAAAAAAAAAAAAAAAACATAACCATTAGAAGAACGATACGTAAAATTAAGTATTCTTTCAAGTAAAAGTAAAATAATAAAAAAAGCCCCAAATTCAAATTAAAAAAAAAAATCAAAAACCCTAACTCTTTGGTAAAAGCTAATTGAAATCCTTAATACTAATGTAACAAAATCTATAACACTAAATCTTAATTTTCCACGATTGTTAAACCATCCGCTTATTTAATTATTAAGTTATTGAAATTTTTAGAACTCGGTCATCCACACTTTAAAAGGGTTAATCCCATCAAAAGTTCCTCTATTTTTTTTCTTAAAGTTGCCTCTTCGATCATTTTTCAACTAATTTTCCAATAAAAAATGACATATGAAAAAAAATTACCACATGTCATGCTATGTCATATTAATTTACCGTGTGAAAAAAAATAAAAATAAAATAATGACTTATAAAATATATAATATTTAATATTTTAAAAAAATTAATTACTCTCTCTCTCTTGCTTCTATGTTTCAAATTAACCCACCATCAAAACCCACTAATGTTTGAAGTAAAATGTCAAAATTAATTACTCTATCTCTCGCCACGCTTTCTGTCACAATTTATGCATTGTTTGTTCGATTTTTATTTTGGGTTTACCTCATATTTGGTCCTTGTATAGTTTCAATTTTTTTTATTGAGACCCTATACGATTTTTCGGCTTAATGAAAACCCTCTACTCTTATAATTTTGTTAATTCGGACCCTCCGTTATAATGTCGTTAAATTTTTATCCTATTGGCAAGTTAAAACTAATAGTAACTAATCACGCATAGACATGTGTCTATATGGGTTCCAAGTAACGACATCTCCAACAAAAAAAAGTTAAAAAGGTTTTTATTATTAAACTAGTACTTAATATTTATAAACTATTGAAAAATACCACATTGCCCTCACCCCCAAATTCCTAAAACCCTATAGCCATCGTCCACCCATCGTCCCTAACCCTACAAAATTTACGGTCATGTCAAGTGATTGATCGAGCCTAAGCGAGTCATCGGTGGTGATAATCTCAAAATTACAATCTTAGCTATCATTGCTCTACTCGCACTTGGACTAAATATCTTCTTTAAACAAAAGCGAGAATTTCTCAAAAGCATTCTTCCCGGATCAAAGATGAAGCTCTTAAAAGGAATTCCCGGTGCATGAGTTCTTGTTCTAGAAAGCATTCTTCCCGAACGGACCAATTCAGCTAGAGGAGCTAAAAATCTCCGAAAAAAAAAGGGGATAGGTGATGCTCTATCTCTGGGGCTCCCGAAAGCCCATCGCTTTGCTTCGAGTGGCATTGAACCAAGGTCATACCCCTCATCGTGGTGAATTCTTGTGGCTCACCACCGCCTTATCTCGGACGAGTTACTCTTTTTGCTGCACAAAACCTAGGCCGAGAAACGAGGTTAAAGATTGGTGTGGGATTAGTAAGAAGAGGCAAAACTTGCTGCATGTTGTGATGGTGATGGGCGGCTAGTGGTCGGCGATCCGTGATGGTGACGGGTTATGGCGAAAAGGAAGTGGTCGCTAGGATTTGGTTATTGTAAAGAGGAGGAGGGAATTTTTGTTTTTTGCTTTTCATTTTAATATACTTAACATTATTTTAATATCATAAATCTTTTTAAATTTATTATTTTGTAGTTTCGGACTTATATTCTCACATTTAGGGCCCACATTTCCATATGTCCATGGCCGATTGACTATCGACATTTTTAATGTGTCACATCAGTACGCACGGTTAACGAAGGGTCCGAATCAATAAATTTATAAGAGTAGAGGGTTTTGATCAAGCTGAGAAATTATAGAGAATCTCAATGAAAAAATTCAAACCGTACAAGGACCAAATGAGGGGTAAACTCGTTTTTATTTTCATTTTTGTTGCTTCCTTTTTTGAGTTTCCAATTAATTACTTTCTCTCCCTCCTCTTTCACAATTAAATCCTTTTTGGTGCTTTTGATTGAGACCTCACTTATGTTCATCAACGCCAAAGGTTACACAATCATAAATTTGTTGAATTTAAGAGAAGACAAAGAGCCGACCCTAAACAAGTTTAAAAGAAAGACAAGACATTGATTGTAGGTTTATTGTTGAATTTCTACCGATGATTTTAGTTTCTAACCATTCAAATGTTGTTAACAAAGAATAGATAATTAATATTAAATAAAAGCTTTAAAGTGATTTTTTGTTTTAACACATTATTGTATCATAATTTTTTTTCCATATATTAATTATCTTTCTATCATACTCAAATAATAACAAGAGAGAAACCTTTAAATCCTTGGACCTATATAAATAAAATGATAAATTAATACATGTTTTCAATAAAAAAGGCAATATTTTTAAATAACATGAACTTAAATTTTACTCTTATATATATATGATAAATTAATACATGTTTTCAACAAAAAAAGACCATATTTTAAAATAACATGAACTTAAATTTTAATACATAAAAAATACTTTTTTTATTTTTATTTTTAATTTTTGTATGTAATTATTTCTTTTTGTAGTGATAGCTAATCTCAAAATATATTAGATGCACCTTAAAAAAACAAATAAATCATTAAAAGAATAACACAAAATTAAACATTCTTTCAAATAAAAGTAAAATAAAAAAAAATCAAAATCAAAATCAAAAGCCCTAACCGTTTGGTAAAAGCTAATTGAAATCCATAATACTAATGTAAGCAAAATATATGACACTAAATCTTAATTTTCCACAATTGTTAAAACATCTACTTTTTTAATCATTGAGTTACTAAAGTTTTTAGAATTCCATCATCCATGCTTCAAAACAACAAATATTAAAGCATATAGGGCACTTCGATTGTTCTTTTCCCTTTAAAGAACAACTAACTAAATATTTTTAATATTTTTAATTTGCTTGTAACAAAAGTAAATCTTAATTTCCATAATTTTCTTCATATTAGGTTCTTTTTTCAAATATTGACATTAAAAGAGGCACATTTAAGCAAGTATTTCCTATTTAGAGGAAAAGAAAAAATCAACTATCATCTAATTAGTTGTTCATTTATGGTCACCGCTTATCATTTCTTTTATTTCTTTAAATTTATCTTCTTTTCTTAAGTATCAACGATCAAATAGTTTTTACTTGTTTACTTACATTTGTTTTTTGGGTGCTTCTAGTTTTAAAAAAGTTTTTGAAAGAAACCTTCCATTTTGTTATGTGTAGAGAAAAAATGAGTGACTCGGAACATCAAATAAGTGCAAGAAACAAAGGATCCCAAGGTCTTACATTCTTCTACGACTTTGGAATTCTTCTAGAGGTTCTTAGGGGTGTTTACTATTCGATAAAAATCGAATAAGTGAACCAAACTACACCTAAATATCAATTTTGATATGGTTTATTTTTTAGAAATTAAAAAAAAATGAACCAAAATATCTTTAGTTTTCGATTTCGGGTATGTTTTTTTTAAAAAAAAAAAAATTGGTTAAACTCGAATAACCAAAATTATTAAAACATATATATATATATATATATATATTAATTTTTTAAGCCAACACACATAGGCTTTGTTACCAATCACTCATAGGATGGCCTCTAAAAATTTTGCCTCATCCCCCGATTGGAGTAAAATTTGTCATACCATCCCCGCCTCAAAGGGGGATAGGGATCCCTACAAGGCACCGGCGCCCCCATTTAATTTTTTTCGTCTCATCTAGTTTCATTCTACTATCAAATTTTAAACTATAGTAAAAAAATAATAATTCATATAGAAAATAAACCTTAAGAGTCAATAGTCATAGATTTTATATAGAGTATAATTGTAATCTTAGGGATGAAACATGGCAAATGGAGCGGGCGGGCAAATGCCATCTCCATTCAAAATAAATACGAGGTGGGGCTTTGTTGAGTTGGAGCAAATTGCCATCCCTACTTACTCATCTCTTTTCCCTCATGGCATCACACTAATTTCGGAATTCCTAAAACGACTAAACCTAAGCCTCTCTTAATTCCAAATCGTAAATTCACAACCATCCGATCATCCCTATAACTCCAGTGAACTTGCTTAACGTAGCTATACATACGAAAATAATTTTATCTACATCTACTAAGTCGCAATTATGAATTTTGTGTCATGTTTGTGTCTCGGTGAGTTTAAGATGCTTAGGTTTAAAAAAAATAATTTTGGCATACTAAAATTTAATTCCCAAGCCCAAATATCTCTTAAAATATCCATGATTATGTGAGCATAAATTATGTTCCATTTCTTTATATTTGTGGTGTGAAAATATTTAAGGTTTATGGAAATTGTTCAAAGGAATACTTTCTTTGGAATTTAATTAACCGTTATTTATTTTTCCATAATATATATTTAAAATGACCATGCAAGTGAAAAATATGTCCCACTTAAGAGTCATGATGGAATTTTATGAATCAAATAAGGTTAGAAAGTTGGTTAGTTTAATTACCTTTTAGTTTCTCTCTTTAGTTAGTGATTTGACATAAAATCCTCTTCCATACTTTCATTGTACTTTCTCACTTAATTTTGGAAGGTTAAACACTCCAACTTGTCTCTTTTTTTTGTCTCCATCAATTGACCTCTCTTACCCCAAAAATTGGATACTTGGCATATTAAACATAAAAGAAATAAAAAGGAAAAGTGTAGTATTAAAATTGGATGAAAAGATGAAACCTTGCCATTCTTTTTAGCCAAAAATTCATGCCCTTCAAAAAGAGGAGAGAAAACGTGAGTTTGAGGGAAAGAAAGGAGAAAAATAAAGGGGAGAAAGAAAGGAGAAAAGGAAAGGAAAGAAAGGAAGGAGAAAAAGAAGAAAAAGGCTAAGAAATCTTAACCAAACACACATCATTGTAAGTAGGTTTCTTTTGGTTTCATTTCAGTTTTATTTATGCTTTAAGTTCTCCTTTACATGTTTGATTTATGGGTTTTTTGTCTTAAGCCATGTAATTTATGGTTATGGTAGTTTGTGTTGATGTTAAAAATTTGATGTTTGATGATAGATTTACTTTGAATGTTGGATGTGTATTTCATGGTAAACTTTAGGTTAGATCGTGTAAGTATGCCATGTACATTTATGATGATGGATGGTTATACATGTGTGATGGGTTGGTTTGGTGATAAATATATGTGATAAGAAATGTGTTTTAAAAATTTTAAAAGAGAATTTTTTGAATTTTAGGGGTGGAAAATTCCAAACATTTTATGATTTATTTAGGGATCTTAGATTGATTTCTGAGTAAAACTCAAAGAACAAAAGTTGTTCATCTATATTTCTACTAGCTCTCTGTAAAATATCATGATTTTTAGATCATATATAAAGAGTTATGGCTGATTTGGTATAGATCATTTGGATGTACCACATGCTGGAAATTTTTAGTTCCGAACTTTATGTGATTTATTTAGGTATCTTAGAGTAATTTCGGATAAAACACAAAGCATAAAAGTTGTTTCTCTATGTATCTAATAGCTCTCTTTAAACTTTTATGATTTTTAGATCTATATATAAAGAGTTATGATCGATTTGGTACGGAGAAAAATTTTGAGTTTAGGAAAAGGGATTTTTAAAATTTAATGGGAAGAAATGAGTTTAGGTACTTAAACTTTATTAGTTAAGGTGTTCAGTTAGCCTAAGTATTTAGTTAGAAACTTAAGCCACCCTAATATATCCATATGGGTTTGGAAGATATGTATGATTAGGCTTGGATTTAAAATAAAGTGGACTTGGAATAACACACATGGACTTGGTCTAAAACAAAGTGGGCTTGGACTAAAATAAAAAAAGGGTTTGGATTACAATCAATGTATTTAAGTTAGAATAAAAATGGGCTTAGGTTAAAATAAAATGGAATAGGATTAAAACAAATCGACTTGGGATTGGATTAAAAAATAAATGGGATTGGACTAAAATAGAGTGAGCTTGGATTAAAATAAAATGAAATGAAATTAAAATAAATGGACTTGGGTTTGGATTAAAATAAATGGGCTTGGACTAAAATAAAATAAGTTTGGATGAAAATAAATGCACGTGGATATCCTAAGAACACTTAGTTGACCTTGTTACTAAAATGGTCAAGTTGGTTCATACCATGAAAATATTGATAAAGACCCAAGTGTGGATTGAATTTCTAAAATGGTATGAACATAAATAGTTTGGTGCCTATGAGATATGAAATGTGGTTCATGATACATGAAATGGATTAACCCTATTAGACGAGTCTTGAATTCCTTATGTGAACTCAATGGTACGGAATCGATGGGTTTAGTACCCATGACTTGATGGAATGTGGTTCATGATACATCACGTGCATCGGATG